GGACCACCCTGATTCCCCACCACGCGATCCCGTGGGGTCCGAAAAACAGCACCAGCGCCACAGAGTGACGCCGCGCGTGGGGGTCCTGTCCCTCAGCCGTCCCTGCTCGCGGGAACGCCCTCCGACCCCGGTCCCCCCGCCGCTGGACCTCCAAGGGACGGGGGTGCGGGGGGTTGCAGCGCGTCCCCGCCGTTTGGTGACCGCCCGCCCACTCTCGCCCGGTCCCCGCCGACCTCCGGGACGGTCCGGAGAGCGGTGGAAGAGCCCCTCACCGGCCGTGGCACCGGAGGGCGCAGGGACAGGGGGGTGTGGGAGCGAACCGAGCGGCGGGGAGTCGGAAGAACGAGGGGGGACCGCCAGGGGCCCCACGCGCGGCTCGGGGGGCGCGGGGCACGGCGGGGCTGGCTGCCCTACCTGCTGCACGGTGCTCCGCCAGGCTGCGCCGCGACCAGCCGGGACGAGCCGGGACGGGCCGGACGGGGCGGGCGGACGGGGCGGGGGCGGGCACCGCCCTCCGCGCCCCCCAGCGGCGGCTCCGCGCCCTGCGCCCCGTGACCGGGAGCGGGGTGTGCTCCCGCGCTCCCCCGCCTGTTGCTCCGCGGAACGGGCCCCACCGGCCCTCGCCCTCCCCGCCCCGGGACCTCCTTCCCGCCGCCTCTGACGTCACTCAGAGTCCCCCTTCCTCACACCGTGACGTCAGCGGGGGGACCCCCCTTTCGGTGGCGGCGAGGGGGGGTGGAATCCCCTCCTGTCGGCGCTGACGCGGTCGGTGTGTCCCGCGTGTGTGTCCCGGTTCCCGCGGCGGGGCCGGCAGGGGGCGCGGCGGGCGCGTGACGCCGGTAGCGGCATGGCCGCGGGGCCCGGCGGGGCGGCGGCGGCGGCGGCGGCCGGGGCGCGGGGGATCGGGGCCGCCTGCCTGCGCCTCCTCCGCCGCGCCCGCCGCGCCGCCGCCGCGCTCATGGCCTTCGCCGCCCCGCTGCTGTTCCGCCTGGGGTGAGTGAGGGAGGGAGCGAGCGAGCGGAGCGCCCGCCGCTCGGCACCCGCCGCCGGGAGGGGGCCACCGCCGCCCGCCTTTGTGCTGCCGCCGGGAGGGAGGGCCCGTCCTCCCCTGCCTGTGCGGAGCCGCCCGCCGAGGGACCTGCGGCCCCGCTGGCTCGGGGAGGCCGGGCCGGGGCTGGAGCTGGTGGGGGCACAGCCGCCCATCCGTGCTCAGCCCGCCCGGGTCGGGGGGAGCGAGGGCGGGAGCTGTCAGCCCGGCTGCGGGGTCGGGGATCAGCCACCGGCACCCCCGCGGTGCCGGTCACCCCCGGATCTGTCACTGTCCCCTGGGGCCAGCCTTCCCCCCGCTGTCATCGCTGACCCATGCCGGTGCCCCGTGGTGGCAGAAGCCGTCGTTCCCCGGCTTCGGGTTCCCACCGCCACAAAAGTGGGGGACTCCCGACCGGTGTCCCTGCCGGTGGATGTCACCATCCAGGGGTTCCCTTGGCTGGGAATGGGCTTTGCAACCCGGGACTTAACACGTCCGTCATGGCACCATTCCCCGTCCCATCCCAAATCACTGCTGTATAAATGGGGAGTTCCCTCCGAGCCCCCGGCCTTTGTCTGTTGTACCCCCACATGCACGGGGCATTTCTCTTCCCTCATGCCCGGGACCAGGACAGGCTTGGGCATGGCCACTCCGGAGCAGGGGGAGGGGCAGCCAGAGTGCCGATCTGCCCTGGGGCTCCAGCCTCTCCTGGTGAGCAGAGCCCTCCTGGACAGATGGACGCACAGATGGACACTCCCACAGCGATGCCACCCCTTCCCCCTCCCCCTTCCCATCCTTGCTGCCTGAAGCAGCTGAAGGGGACCTGGCTGGGAAACTAGTCCTGCCCTCGCTGCAGAGCTGGGGCGTAGGATACACACATGCCACCTCCAGCCCCCATGCATGAGAAAGTGACCCTGTATGTGTCCCCTGTGGGACTCCCAGCCCAGTCCCCGCGCGGGCTCCTTACGGGGTTTGGGGGTTAACGTCGAGGGCTGTTCTGCCCACCCCAGGTACAGCCTCTACGCCCGCACACGCCTGGGCTACCTCTTCTACCAGCGGCAGGTGAAGAAGGCCCGGGAGCGGTACCCACATGGCCATTCCGTGCCCCAGCCCTGCTGCTTCCCCGGTGAGTCCTGGCGAGCCACCCCCACACTGTGGCCCCACAGTGTCCCCCAACACTGGCACTCTGGGGTGGGGAGGGGTTGCCATTGCCAAATTGCTCAACGCATACTTAACTAATAATTTGATGTAAGATGTTGGAGTCTGGCCTGGACCTCTGCTTTTCAGCCCAGGGGGTCATGCCCTGATGTCTGTCTGTCCCTGCCAGGAGTGAAAATCCTACCCATTCCTGTGCTCTCCAACAACTACAGCTACCTGGTCATCGACACTGGCTCCAGCCGAGCAGCCGTTGTTGACCCCTCTGACCCACTGGCTGTGCAGGTGAGACCCCCAAAACCACCCATATGTGGTCTTTGGGTGTCTCCAGGTAAGGGGCTGGGATGACTCTGAGGGCAGAAGGGGACACATCTACCCCTAATCTGCAGCCCTTAGTGCCCAAGGCAAGGTTGAAGTGTGGCAGTGCTCATCCAATGCCTTGGGGGGACTGAATTTAGGGGGATACTGATACTTGGGTTCTGTGTCCCCCCCCAAATCTCTCTGTGTTTCCTCCCCATTCCCAGGCTGCCATTGAAGAAGAGGGGGTGATGCTGGAGGCCATATTCTGCACACACAAACACTGGTAAGGGGCAAGGGGGGACATGGGGGTGAGTCAGTGGGTGCCGGGGAGAGTGCCCTATCTGATGGCCCCTGGCCCTGCCCCATTTAGGAAGGGATATGGGGGGGGGGGGCACATTTAGGGTTGCTGACCATCCTGTCTGCAGGGACCACAGTGGGGGGAACGCAGCACTCTGCCAGAAGCACAATTCCTGCAAAGTGTACGGCAGCGCTCTTGATGCCATCCCACAGCTCACCAAGTAAGTCCTGAGCCCCCCTAGCAGCCCTGTCAATTTGGGGGTGGGGGAGGCTTCACTCCCAACCACCACTGTCTGCACACACACCACTCCATCCCCAAGTACCATGTTGCCCCCATTGTGGGCAGAGACCTGGCATGTTCATGACAGCAGTGTGTGGGGAAGGGTTGCCTGGGGAGCTGGGTATTTTGAGGTGCTGGGGGTGCAGGGAGCACCCTGACAGTGCCCTCTGTGCCCGGCACAGTCCACTTGCAGACAGGGAGAAGGTGAGTGTGGGCTGCCTGACCTTCGAGGCGCTCGCCACACCTGGCCACACTGTGGGCCACATGGTGTATGTACTGGATGGGGAGCCCTTTGGCAGCCCCCCCTGCCTCTTCTCCGGGGACCTCCTCTTCCTCGCTGGCTGCGGTGAGTGCACCCGACCTGGGTGTTGGGGGTTATCCCACCCTGGGAAAGGCTTGGGGGTATCTCCCAATGCCCCCCCATGACAGGCAGTTGTGTGGGGGTCCAGGCAGGCCATTTGAGGGCTCCCCCGAGACCATGCTCGCCTCACTGGACGTGGCCGTGGGCTTGGGTGAGGACACGCTGCTGTGGCCGGGTGAGTGTACCCAACAGCGGGGCAGAGTCACTGGTGTCCCCCTCTAGTCCCCATTGCCAAGCTGGGGAGCTGTGTGGGGATGATGCTGAGGGTTGCATACGGGGGTCCACAGGCCACGAGTATGCACTGGAGTGCCTGACCTTCGCCAGCCTCCTGGAGCTGGACAATTCTGCGCTGGAGCAGAAGCTGCAGTGGGCAGTGCAGCAGCGCCAGGACAAGAGGAGCACGGTGAGGCATGGGGGTCCCTTGGCTGCAGCACCCAGCACCCCAGCCCCTCACAGGGATCCCCATCCCTTGGCAGGGATGCTGCACCCCAAGATCCTCTTGCATGGCAGGTTCCTTAAGGGAAGGGTGTTCTGGAGGGGTTCCAGCTCCCCGCCAGGGGTGCTGCCTCTGTCAGGGGAGCTGAATGGCTGCCCCCCACAGTGCCCCTCCACACTGGGGGAAGAGCAGACCTACAACCCTTTCCTGCGGACACACCGGCCAGAGCTGCAGGAGGCACTGGGACTGTGGCAGGATGGGGGAGAGGACCCCGACGCCTTCCGCGCCCGCGTCCTCAAGGAGGTGCGGAGGCGCAAGGACCTCTACCAAGCCACCTAGATCTTCCCTCCCAGGAGCCCCTCCCTTTCCATGGAGCCGGGTGATATTTGGGCACGAGGGGCCCAAGGCTCTGTGTTTTTCATTTTGCTGTGAATCTCCCTCCTGGGGTGCGTGGTTGTGGGGAAGAGTGGATACCCCTTTATGTGGGCACCCCATAAATGATCCCTCCCTTTGCTCCCCCAGACTTGGGGGTCACCAGCTGTCACATAGAAGCACCTCGATCCCCTCTCTGGGGGTCTGTAGCCCCCCTGCCCCACTGCTAGGGCTATAGTGATGGCACCAAGGGCTTTTCCTATCCCCCCTCCCCGTTTTTCTGGGAGTCTCCAATTTCACTACCACCACTACCACTTGGCTCCCTTCCCCTTACCCTTGCAGCCCCCAGTGCTGTGCATCTCCTTTGGAGACTGTGATGGAGCCAGCAAGGGTAGGCGGGGGGCAGTACTACCTCCAGGCAAGGGGCTCCTCTCCAGCACCCCATCCTTGACGCTGGAGCCCCCCTGCACACACACACACACAAAACTAGGACAAGGCCATGGGGTCACACTGCTGTGGGGTAGGGGGTGCTGCTGTGCGGGACACACACACACACACGCACCCCCTCCACACCCCCAAATAAAAGACTGGATCGATTTTATACCTGTTCGTCCTTTTCTCTCCGCGTTGGTGGGGCCCCTCCGCAGGACACCCCGCCGCGGGGCGCGGCCCCTTTAAGAGGTGTGGCCAGGCCGTTGCCTTGGAGACGGTGAGGCGTCGGGGGCCCGGGGCCGGCCCGGCGGGGCGGGGGCGGGCGGGGGGTGACAGGGGCCGGGGGCTGCTCTGCTCCCCCCCGGGCTCACGCGTGGACGGGTACCGCGGTTCGAGGGGGCCACGCCGCCCCCTCACCTGAGGGTCCGGCAGTAGGAGCCCCCAGGCGAGGCATGGAGAGCGGGCAGGAGAACCCGGCCCTCACGGACACGGCTGCCGAATTCCTGAGCCTCATCGGTGAGTGCCCCCTCCAGCCTCCCCTTTGTCCCTCACACGCCGTGCCCTGGGGGTCGTCGGTGCGGGAGATGGGGGGCACCGCGTCCGGCAGGAGAGGGATGGATAGTGGGGACTTGAGCAGGATAAAGGGTGAGGGGCTCGGCCCAACCTGCGGGGAGGGGAAATGAGGCAGAGAGAGGCCCTGGGCAGGGGTGATTGTCACGATGGTCACTCGGGGAAGGGGTGACCATTCCTCTGGGCAGGGCTGACTGTCCCTCCGTGCAGGGCTGAAGGAGCTGGAGCACTGCCTGTTCGCCGAGACGCTGGCGGTGGTGGGTGTGGGGGACCCGCCAAGGGACAAGGCAGAGGGCCAGTGGTGGATGGCAGCCCAGTGGGCACCCTACAAGCGGGAAGGTGAACCAGTGCGGAACTGCATCCTGGTGCAAGCCAGGTTCCGAGGCTCGCGGGATGGTGTACCTGCCTCCAGCACCCTCAAAGGTGAGCCAGGGGTGACTTTGGGTGTCCCTCCCACCTCAGCACTGGAGCATCCCTGTCTCACCAGCCCCCAGGGCTAGGAATGGGACAGTGCTAGCAGCATTGGCTGAGCATGGCTTTGCTTTGCCAGCCTATGTGACCCCACAGCTGGAGACCCTGGAGCAGGAGGAGCAGGAGTGCTTGGAGGTGACTGATGTGGTAGTGGTGGTGGCATGTCCCCTTCCCCATGGCCTGCCCCCTGCCCTGGGATGTCCCCTGCAGTGGTGCCCTCTGGGGATATGCCTCATGCAAGGCCACTGTGGGCAGTCTGATGTCCCCTCCCACGCTCAGACTCCAGCTCTGTCCCACCAGCCTGGTCCCCATTCCCTACTCTGGGTGGAAGTTGGGGCAGGGAGTTTCCCACAATGCTTCTGATGTGGTACCCTGACTGAAAGCAGTGCTGGGGTGTGCCACCTTAGAGAAAGAGGTGCCCTGGCTCTACCCTCCACCCCTCCCACAGCTCAAACCACACCCCACAGAGAAGAGCACCCACATGGTGAGCCACCAGCATGGGATGACTGTCACAAAGACCCTCCAGGAGGGAGAGGTGAGGCTGAGGGCAGGAGATCTCTGCAGTCTGCCCCCCACATGGGTCACATCTTGGGAGGGGGGAGCACAGCTGGCCTGTCTCAGCACAGCTGGCCTGTCTCACCAGGGGTGCCCCAGGCTCTGGGGGTTGCTGTCCCTGACATCACTGGGGCTGTGGCTTTCCCATGAGGTGGCCAGGTCTCTCCACAGGCAGAGCCACAGTGCCAGAGCTTCTCCTACAGCCAGGCCGAGCTGCGGGGGCTGCTGCTGGAGGGTGCCAGCCTCCTGCTGCTGCGGGTGCTGGCACGCCGGCACACAGTGCCCCCCGGCCTCGTCTTCCCAGCCATCGACACCGAGGGCCACCTCTGCACCTCCAGCTACGTGAGCCACAGCCAGGGGGACCTGTGGGGTTGGGAGGTCTTGCTCAGGTTGGGAGTGCCAGGGTGGGATGTGGGACGTGGGAGTGTGGCGTGGGCAGAATGTGGTTGACAGCATGGGGAGGAGAGGCATAGGGATGGCACCTGGAGGCAGGGGGGACTCTAAGACAAGCGTGACCTCTGGCTGTGCCCCTCCCAGTCTGCCCTGGGCATCCAGCGTCAGGCAGTGGGCTCTGCAGAGACGGAGGTGTTTGTGATGGAGCGAGCCATGCACACCAGCACAGGCGTCTCCACTGTCTGGCAGAGCAGCTTCCTCCCCAACGGGTAAGCGTGAGGGTCTGACTGGGGGCACCCCCAGCCTTGCCAGTCTGGCAGGGACCCAGTATGGGGACTTCATGGGCTCTCCCCTCTACAGGCGTTTGGTTCGGATGATGCAGGTTGGCTCCCCAACGCTGATGCTTCTGCAGGATGAGTCCGTCCTCAGCAAGTCAGGTACTGGGGCAGGGAGACTTGTGCCCTCCAGCACAGGCAGCCCCTGCCCACTGTCCGACAGCTGAGTGGGGAACACCCTGCACTGCCTTTCTGCTGCCAGGTGGGTTTGAGCTCCAGCTCCCCTTCCCCAAAGAGCCCCTGAACTGGGAGGAGGACATGCAGCTCTGCTCCTGGTTCCTGGACAGGAAGGTGAGATGGGTGGACAGTCCCCAGCAGGGTCTCCCTGGGTGTGCCCAGGGGGCACACTGTGGGGGGCAGACTGGCCAGCATCCTCCCTCACACCTTCTTATGTGTGGGAAAGGACCCAGATACCCTGTCCCACTCACCGTGGCACAGTGTCCAGGGGGATATGTGTGTCCATGCCCACCACACCCATCTTGCTGCAGGAGGAGCTGCAACTATCCCATGCTGTCTACCTCCAGCAGCACCCTGAGGTCCGGGCACTGCTGTCTGACTTCCTTCAGGCCTTGCTGCTCCGGCAGCCCCATGACCCCCTCTCCTTTGCCGCAGAATTCTTCACCCACCAGCGGCCCATCGATATCCCCTTTGCCTCCACTGGGTCTGGCAGCCCTCTCCCCAGCTCCCCACCTGACCACCCTCCAGCTAACGGGGAATAAAGCTGCCAATACTGCCTGTTGCAGTCTTGTTTGCTTTGGGGAAACTGAGGGTCAGGGAGAGCAGGTGGTCCTGAGTTGTGTGCTAAAGCCCCACCATGCCATCTGGGTGGGACCCTGCCCTCCTCTCAGCTGTTCTAGCCCTTAGGGCTTAGGGTGGGGGTTGCCTGGGGGGTGCCTGGGGCATACCCTGGAGCAGGGCCAGGCTCACATCCCCACCACCACCCCATGTGTAGACTCCTTGCCCACCTCTCTGTGGGGCACAGCCTGGATGGAAGATGGGTGCCCCAGAGAAGCAGCTGAAACTAACCAGGTACCCATGGGAGCACCTGAGGTGCTCCCCCTTCCACCTCCTCAGCCACAAGGGTCCTGGGGATGAGGTCCCCACTTTTGCTGGCACAGCTTGACAGTGCAGCAACACTGGCACCCCATCTTTGGAGTGAAGGTACCCGCACTCAAGGGTGATGTAAGCACCCTGTACCGCAGAGCTGGGTGCTTCCCCCAGCAGCTGAGGGTGCATTTTGATCTGCTTGTGCAACACATGCCTGCTTCCTCCTCGTTCCCACTCCTATGGCATTTCCCCTACTCCCCTGTGGCCAGCCCTCCCTTCCCACTCTGTGGGAAACTGTCCCCTGTCCCCCTAACCCCCAAAGGAGCAGGAACCCTGGCATGTGATGGAGGGTGACACACCATCGATGCTCCCACGCTCCTGGTGTGGGTGCCTTGTGCATGCACGTGTGTGTGCGTGGCAAAGAGGATCAAAGGGGCCTCTTGGCACAGGGTGAGAACTGAGACTGTGCACATTCATAGCACCCAGCCCCCAACAGCCAGGGGCCCTTTCCCTACCCAGGTCAGCGGGTAGGGAAGGAACACTTCCTTCTCCTATCCTCCTCCTCTCCTCCTCGGGGGGGGGCAGTTGGGAGGGTCCTTTAAAAGCTGGGCGGCAGGCACTGCACCCAGTGTTAGGATCAGGGTGCCCCAGCAGCACGTCTGGATCAGCCCCAGCTATGGCATTGCTGGAACCAGGTGAGCCTCACAAAACTTGGGTCCCCTTGTGCGTCCTTTACTCCCCTAGACCCCCTTTCTTCTGCTCCGGGATCCCTGGTTCTGCTCCATCCACCAGTGGGCACTGTCCCCCCAAGCCTGTCCTGGATTCCCCCTCTGCCCCATCCTCTGTTCCCCCAAGTCCACCTGTGATTCAATCACATTCCCAGGATGTGGGTGGGCTGGGGAGGGGGGATTAGGACCAGTACAAGCCTCTTGTCCCCACTCCATGCCCACCCAACAGCAGGACCCTGAGCAGGAACCCCTCCTGTCCAGAAACACACTTGGTTCTTGGACTGGTGAAGACTGGGCTGGGAGCAAGCATTTAGGGACACCTGAGCTAGAGGTGGCATCTGACCCCTTTGGGTAGCCACTGACAGATCCCATATAACCACCCTCATGGCCCCCTTGGAAAAATGGTGCTTGTACCTCAGGGGGCTCACCAAGCAGGGTCAGGTGGGACTGGAGGAAGCTAGTGCCAGGGCTGCCAGTCCACCAATGTCCTTGTCTCCCTGTCAGGCTGCCAACTCTCCTCCTCCTTTTCCTTGCCCCACCAGGCCTCGCCGGGTCCCTGAACCACGGCCAAGTGCAGAGTTACAGCACTGGCAGGAAGCACCCTGGCACTCAGGACCAGACCTACCTGGATGAGCTCATCAGCATCCCCAAGGGCAGCGGGGTAGGTGCTGCCAGGCTGGCACCTCTGTCTGAGGGTGGGAAGATGGGGCAGGGTCCAGTGCTGCAGGAAGCTGGAGGTGGGAAGGCAAAGGGCCACCACAGCGGGGGAGCTGTGTCTTGGCCATGCCCTGGGAATATGCCCTCAGCATCCCCAGACCTGCCTCGGGCAAATCTGAGTGTTTCCAGACCTATTTTTGCAGATGGAGAAACTGAGGCATGGTATGAGGAGCTATCCAGCCATAGGAATCACCCCTGCTCACATACCTCCTTGGCCACCCATGGGTGAGCCCAGTGGGGCTCCCCAGGCTGCCTGCACCCCACCAATCTTCCCATCCCTGTCCTGGGGTAGTAGAACACAGAAGGGGGAAGGAATAGGGTTCCCCTATCAGGAGGGGTGGAGAAAGCAGAGCTTTCTTTGCAGCAGGATCCCACGGGATGCAATTAACAGTGTCTGACAACCCTGCGACCCCCTTGCAAATCACTGTCCAACCTGTCCCTGTGTGGGATGGAGGGGCTCACAGCCCCTCCAGCACTACTGCTAACAGAGAGAGACTGGGAGCAGCAGTTCCCCCTCTCCAAACTGTTAGAGAAATGCTCTCCACGTGCCAAATGCACGCGTGTGGGCAGCACTGGGCTAAAGGGGACTGGATGTGCAACCAGGAGACACTGGTTTTGAAGAGGAGCTCCTGGCTCTGACTTGCTGCCTTGTCCCAGCCGGGGTTCAGCTTTAAGAAACTCTGGGCTTTCACCGGTCCCGGCTTCCTCATGAGCATTGCCTACCTGGACCCGGGCAACGTGGAGTCGGACCTGCAGTGCGGAGCGGTGGCGGGGTTCAAGGTGAGCCCTGGGCCCCCTGACTCTGGGATCAGGAAGCAGGCACGGGTTTCGTAACCTCTCCCGTGCCAACGGCCGCCCAAGTGCCACGGCTGCCGGCTTCCCCAGCCCGGGAGTGGGAAGCACAGGGGGGGCCCTTGGCACTGTGGTAGGGCACCCAGGGGTGCCAGAGGGCACCCCTCTGACTGGCTGGGAGATCACTTCCACTCCTCTCTTCCTTGCATTCCCTGGGCTGGTTGAGCTGGGGACCCCCGGGCGGCCGGATCCTGGCCAGTACCCAGTCCCTGTTGCCTCCCTCCCTCCTTCCTACCTTCCCAGCTGCTGTGGGTGCTGCTGTGGGCCACCGTCCTGGGGCTGCTGTGCCAGCGCCTGGCCATCCGGCTGGGCGTGGTGACTGGGAAGGACCTGGGTGAGATTTGCTACCTCTATTATCCCAAGGTGAGCAGCCACGGGGAGCCCCCTGAGATCACAGTCTGAGGGGACCTTGCGCTTGGGCTGGTGACAGTCCTAGCAGGGAACTGGGGAGCTGGAGGGGAGTAGGAAGATGGTGCGAGAGCCCTGCCTCTCCCAGGGGCTCCCCAAAGCCCCCTAAGCCCTAGTGCCCCCCATCTGGTGCCCACGCCCCTGCAGTACAGGAGCCCGGGGTGGGGAGCTACCTCAATGTCCTGGTCCGACCTGGGGACATCTGAGAGCGTCCCCCGCGGGGGTGAGCCCAGGCGTCAGGGCAGCGACTCGCAGCCGAGACGCGGTTCCGCGGTGCGAGCCTGGGCGAGTTGGGGCAGGAAACTGGGTGGGCTCGAGGGGAGGGATCACATGGCTAAGGAGGAGAGAAGAACGGGGTCCCTTTTAGGCGGCAGGGTTCTGCTGGTGGGGGAAACGAGCACGCAGATGTTGGCTGAATGACCGGCCCCCAAAAGGAGATGCATCCCTCCGCCTCGCCCCCCCCTCCCCTCTCGAAGCATCATCTCCAGACAGCTGGGTCCTATCCTCCACTCCCACTGGGGCAGAGATGGGGATGGGGGTGCAGGCTGAGATTCAGCATTCATCTTTCGTCCTGAGATTGCCATGTGAGAAACTGAGAGGGGTCTCCTGGGGTTCACATGTTGTTCTGGGTGGCCTGCCACAGCCTGGGGACAGGGATTTCCACCCAGGATGCTGTGCCAGCTCACTCAGGGCCAAGCCACACTGTGGGCTCAGACACCTCATGGTGCCCTGGCCCTTCCAGATGCCCCGTGTGCTGCTCTGGCTCATGATGGAGATCGCCATCATCGGCTCTGACATGCAGGAGGTGATCGGGACGGCCATTGCTTTCAGCCTCCTCTCAGCTGGCCGGTGAGCCTCCCCATGCAGATGCCCCAGCCTCCTCCACGGCCCCACACCACAGAGGGGCATGTATCTAATCCCCCCTTGCCATCCTGCAGCATTCCCCTCTGGGGTGGGGTCCTCATCACCATTGCAGACACCCTCTTATTCCTCTTCCTTGATAAGTACGGTGAGTGCCAGGGTGGGTGGATGGGGTTACCCAGGCAGCCCTGGTGCCAATGTGACAACGGTGTCCCCTGTTCTGTCCCACCCCATCTCTTGACCCCTCTAGGGCTCCGCAAACTGGAGGCTTTCTTTGGCCTCCTCATCACCATCATGGCCCTGACCTTTGGCTACGAGGTGAAGGGGGAAGCTGGGGACAACCCTTTTGCTGCAGGGTACTAGCAAGGGGCCCCCATGTGGGGTGTCCCCACTGGTACCAGCCTGCAGCAGGAGGCTGGCAGCTCACAGTGCCCATTCTCACTGATCCCCAGTACGTGGTGGTGAGGCCAGTGCAGGTGAAGGTGCTGAAGGGCATTTTCCTGCCCTACTGCCCGGGCTGTGGGCGAGAGGAGCTGCTGCAGGCCGTGGGCATTGTTGGTGCCATCATTATGCCCCATAACATCTTCCTCCACTCCTCCTTGGTCAAGGTGAGACCAAGATACTGCCGTGGGTGCTGCACCCCCCCAGTGGGGGGACACTTGGTGGGGACCAGCTGGTCCTGGCTGCATGACAGGGGTGCTCCACTGACCCTGTGACACCCATGTCACTGCCGTGCCCAGACGCGGGCAATCGACCGGTCCAAGAAGGAGGCAGTGCAGGAGGCCAACATGTATTTCCTGACTGAGTCCTGCCTGGCCCTCTTTGTCTCCTTCCTCATCAACCTCTTCGTCATGGCTGTCTTTGGTGAGGCTTTCTACCACCAGCGAAACAAGGATGTGGTGAGTGTCACCTTGTGCCCACAGGGAGGTGACGGCTGTGCCCAGCTGTGGAGATGGGCAGGGCAATCATCCCTTGGAGAATGGGTATTCTCTGAGACATGGGTGTGGGGGGTCCTCCGTGTCTGTGGGGTCACTGGGTGGCTGTCACGCTTGTGCCTGCCATGCCTTGCAGCACAACAAGTGCATCAACAGCAGCATCAGCCACTATGCCGGCATC